AAAAGTGTTTTATAAGACAATGTGTACTTTTAATTTTATAAATTTATTAAAATTTTTATAAAAAAAATTATTTTATTAAAAATATTTTAATATATTTACAAGACAAACTATTTTTACTATATAGTCTGTAGTAAAATATAAATTCCATTAATTATTTATTTTTCATCTCGCAAAAATACCCTTATACTGGCCTCGCTTTTTCACCACTCATTTGGGGGTATTTTCGTCATTTCAGTTGGACCATGACGTAATTTTCACTCTCCTCCTCACTTTCTTCTTCAGGCCGTCCTACCCCATCAATCTTCGCGAGTTCCTCCCGTTCGCAAAATCTCCGACGAAATCCGCTGCTGGAATTTGAAAAAATGGTAAATCCTTATTTGTTGATAATTTTCCTGAATTTCCATCTATTTTATTTTTCTATGAACATTGCTAGGAATTAATTTTATTAATTTTTCCGCTTTTTGCGATTTCTATATCGAGAAGATTCCGTTGTTTTCCTGATTAAGAATAATATATATTTTTTTATTTTCTGTTAAAAATTTGTTCATATTCTGTTTGTTTACTCTGAAAATGTAAGAAAGTATGTCAGAATCTGAGATTTATTTTTTTTTCCTACTGTTAAGAAATAGAATCCCCCAAAAGAAAAAGTGATAATGTTCAAAGTTTGACAGACGGTGTACATCTACAGACATCAATGGTGTATTTTTCTGGAGATAGAAATGATAAAAGTAATTAATCTGTTAGTTTACATATGGGTTCCGGCTGTAGGGCCTATATCTTGTGGCATGTTGTACTAGGGTGAAGTTTTAGTGATGCTCTGTTCCTGTCAGTGTTGCCCTTAGGAAAGGATTTATAATGGTGAGTAGAGATCTTGTTATGTCGGGATGGTCTTGCATATACATGGATCAATATGTAGAGCAGTTTGGTGATCTTTGGGAATTTCTCAAGTTTGGATTTTTTTTTTAAAAAAAAATTATTGGGGATAATGATCCTTGTGAAGTGTGGCTATGAAGACAGTTCAGCATAAGCTTAGTTGATTCTTTTACTTCTATCCATGCTTGTATAATTTACTTCAGCTGCCAGCACTGTGCGACTAGTGCTTAGATTATTCTAATTTTACTCTGTATCAATTGACACATTTATATGCTTGTGAAGATTTTGTATGGTATTTTCAAAAATCTGCTTATACCTTTTGCAGGATGGGCAAGATTCAGGAGATTCAAAGCAGAGCACTGCTGACATGACAGCTTTTGTGAGTTCCTTTACAAGTCCACCTGACTTGATTATTTTGAGCCACATGACAAGAATGATTAAATAAGCAGATTGAGGAGCTGATACCGATTGTGTTCATAGTGACGTAGGGGCATTTTTAATCGTGACATTTAGTGCCTGTTTAATGTTGAGGAAATTTATTCTGTGACTTGGGGTTTAGGGAATATAAGGACTATGGTCTTGTTTGTGAATTCCACATTCTGCCCTGCATTGGTTCTTTATTCTTTTAGGCTTTGCATTTGATACTACTGCTTTCCTCCATCATTTGGACCACGTCATGTGTTTAGATTCTTATACATCTAGTATGATTTAATAAAGCAAACAACATAGTCGGGCCCATATCCTGCCTGAAATTGTCCATCACTTGCCATTTCAATGTTTCTGTTCTATATTGAAATGAATTCTGGGCTTAGCTTTGCTGAATCTATTTATTTATTTTTCAGGTCCAGAATCTTCTTCAACAGATGGTGAGTTCTTTATTTTTCATTGTTGTTTACTTGTATGTTTCTTTCGATAACTCTTGTATGTTTCTAGCAGTTGTAGCTAACTTTGTTGCATTATTACCATTTGCAGCAATCAAGGTTCCAAACTATGTCTGACTCCATTATAACAAAGAATATCCTTTTTCTTATGTCTCATATTATTTACATGTAACATTTCACTGTTAAACAGTCCTTTACTGTTATCTTTATGATTGAATTTCTTGAAGCAATGAATTTTTTTAATTCATATTTTATAGCATCTGAAAGGAGTTGTTCTGTCTTTTGTTGGGCTGTTGTGGTTGAGGGCATTGGTGGTATCTAGGATTAAACTTTAATGGAATGCTTATATATTGCAGAAAGAAAAGAGTACTTATATATTAGCTTCTATTTGTTAGACAACATATAGGATTTTAGCTTACTTTTGGGGAAAAGTGCAGGAAGGGATTGCAATTTCCATTTTGAATGAGCTTCAATCTGTTAATGCTGTCAAAAACAAGTGGAACAATTTCATATTTATAGAATGTGTGGTGCCATTGATTGGAGTATAAAACACTTGAAATGCTCAATTGATAATCAAACAAATTTAATTTGGCTTTTGGTTTCCTTGACTCTGATGCACTTGATGAGATGGGCGGCAGGATAGATGAATTGGAGCAGAGCATTAACGATCTCAGAGCTGAGATGGGTGTGGAGGGCTCACCTTCCCCACCAGTCCCGGTTAAGCCAAAGGATGAGTCTAAGTCAACCAACGATTCAGCTTGAGATTATTAACAGCATTTGTCAAAGCTTAAAAGAACCAGGTTGCTGCTGTATGATTCCTTTTTCTCATTTTGCAAAATCAATAGTTTTTAATTTGTAAACAGATTAATATATTACCCAGGATATGAATCAAAAGCTCTTCCAATCACCTTTGTTTTCCGGAGAATTTTAAGAAGCCTTTGATGTTGCTTCCTATTGGCAAATGCTTAAAGGTCTGTTCCTTTTGTTATTCATATAGAACTCAAAAGGTTTGTGATTATACTCTATTTACTTGGTTTGCTAAGTTGGATGCACATTTCTGTAATTGTTATGATCTCTATTGCGTTCAATCGTGGACCGTAGCAGCAGCATTTGTTATTGTTAAAGAGATTGGACACTGTCTCACGCTAGCCGAATTGCATTATTTCGTTGCCTAATCATATTTACTTTTCAGGTACTTGTCTCGGCTCATATTTACTCCTTTTTTAGAAAGAGAATCAAATTTCCTCTGGAATAGTGTTATGGTGGTCCTGAAGCTGAATTTTTTTTTGAGGAATCTGTTATATGGATAATTTTTTTATCTTATATTTTTATATAATTTTTAAATATTAAAAAATTTAATTAAATAATTAATAAATTTAAAATTAATTTTAATTTTTTATTAAAAATTTATAATAAAAATATATTTATTATATTTTT